ACCAGTTCTGCCCACGTGAAAGCCCAGGCTTGGTTTTCTCGCTGGCGCACAGGAGGTGAGAGCCAGTTCCCCGGTGACGTCCTCAGACAGCGAATGCGCAGCGGACACTCGGGAAGGCCTCTCCCCTAACGAGCGTCTGGGCTCCTGCGCTCGGTGTCCCGCCGCCGACAAGCCCAGCCGTCTCCGCAGCACTGCTGCTCCCCGGAGGCCCCGGGACTGCGCAGCCGCAGAGGTGGGGCCACCCTGGGGCACCGTGGCCTTGCTCTGAGCCGCTCACGAGGTTCTCGATGCTGGCCCTGCGGACTCTCACCTGCGGCACAGCTTTCTGTTTGCAGCTCAGCTCAGCCCTCGCTGGATCTCAGCCGTGGCGTCCTGGCTGCCGGGGACACAGCTCCCGCCACTGTGGGGAGCGTGTCAGCCCCGGTGCCTCTCGCTGTGGCAGACCCTTGGCCTAGATCCATCTGGACACATGCCTGTGCCATAAGCCTCTCCAGGGACCCAGGTGCTGGGCGTCACGCAGCCACTCCAGTGCCGTCCTGGAGGCTCACACCTGGGGGACCGTTGTCCCCGGGCAGCTGGGACCCTGGGGCTCCAGGGCGAGGTGGAGACTCTGAGCCCTCGGCCGTCCTCCTGGCATTTCTGGCTGGGACCCAGGGGCTGCGCCGTGTGGGCCAGGCAGTCCCTCACTGAATGTACATTAAATACGTGCACCACGTGGGTGGAATATACGTTCTCTCCAAAGTGTGAGAAGCACTGTGAGCCCAGGGCTCATGTTGGGTGGGTGTGTGACAGCCGTTGGAAGGCATGTTCCTGAGAAAATGCAGCTCTGAGGGCTCAGCCGGGGGCCATGGTCCGGCCCCGTCGGGCACTGTCGGGGCAGGACGGCGCCCTCGCCTCGCACTGCGGTGTGAGACAGGGAGGGAGCTGGATGGTGGCCTGAAGCCATGGTTCCTCCCGGGTTCTGTCTCCCACACATTTGCCAGGAAATGAGACGGGACACGCGCTGGACAGCATCAGCTCCTGCTCCTGCTCATCTCAGGACGGATGCCGAGGCAGGCTCAGGACTGGGTCAGGACCGGGAGGGACACAGACACAAAGGCAGCCTCCCTGGACGGACACAGACACCTGACAGCAGGCTTCATGCCTGGCCCAGGAGACGGCTTTGTTCTCCAGCGGCTCATGCTGGCCGCGGTGTTTTGGGGAGGCGATCAGTTTTGCCCTCCAGCAGCGCCGCCCTGAGCAGTGTCGCTGCAGAGAGAGCGTTGTCCTCACCTTCCCTCCAGACGGCATGTGCACGGCACCAAGGCGGCGTGGCCGCTCTGTGCCAGTGAGCCGTCTGGGGAAGTCGCGGGGGCCGTCGCGTGCTGCCCCCAGCCCGCCTCCGGCCTCACTGACGCCCCTGGGCTCGCACTGCCTCGAGGCTCCTTTGGGTCGTGGCCTCCCTTCCTCCTGGTGGGTGAGTCCTTCCCTTTCCTTGGGGACTGCCTGCCTCTCCCATCACCTGGAGCAACGACAGACTCTCAGCCCCTCTTCCCTCCAGCGGGGAGCCTCATGGAACCAGCGAGCCCACGAGGCCCACGGCACATAGAGCCCATGGTCCCAGGTGTGTGGCCGTGTGCACCGCGCGATTCATGTGCGGCCCCAGCCCAGCCCCCATACCCACACCTGCGACTGCTGGTCTCGGAGCGTGTAGTTTATGGGGCTGCAAAGTAGCTGCATTGACATGCAGTTTAAATGCTGCCTCCTAACCGTCAGCCTCCCGCCTCCCGTCCTCTCGCTCACGACCGCACTCTGTTCTCTGCTGTGGGCTGTAGTCCGAGGACGCTGCTGCCCGTGGCGGGAGGGCAGGACCCTGCGGGCTCTGCAGCGGGCAGTGTCGGGCAGTGCTCGGTCACACCCTCAGAGGAGCAGCTGCGCACGGGCTGTTTCCACCGAGCACTCAGCGGGCAGAGATCCATAGTGTGTGCGTGCATCGTGCGCACACGTGTGCATGCATCGCGTGTGCATGCATGTGCATGTTTGGGTGTGCCCATGTGAGTGTGGTGTGTGTGCACTGTGCACACATGTGTGTTCACGTGTGCACACGTCTTTTCCCCTTTGCCACCTGGCGCGTTGCTGGCGTGCGGAAGGTCAGTGGCTGCTGGCTGCCGCATGTGTGCAGCCTTCGCTCCTTTGGAAAATGGGCATGTGTTTAGGGGAAGAGATGAGTGAGGCCTGAGGTATGGAGCCGGGAAGCGGGGCTTCGGGGTGCCTGCAAAGGTGGCCCCCACAGGTATCGTGTCACGCTGGGTGCCGTGGCCGCTGCAGCGGTGTCCGGCTCGGTCCTTGGTCGCAGTGTTTGTAATGTGCTAATCCAGCCGGCACCATGCAAGTGGGTAAAAATGAAACAAGATTGAGTCATATGAAAAAATTAGCTTCCAGTCATGATAGAAGATGATTGACATGGTGAGGAGCTGGGGGCCGGGTGAGATTGCTTGCTCGGTCCCCGTGGGCGGGTGGTGGTGTGAGCGCGGAACGGCCCGGTGGACAAGGCGTGGTTCTGACTGCCAGCCCCGTGTGGCGGACGGCCCCGCGGCCATAGTCCGCTTGAGGCCCTGAGACGGAGGCGGCGGCAGCGGAGGGAGCACCTGCCGACCACAGACTCCGCTCCTCTTCCCGCTCGGGCGGCCGGGGCGCCGGGGCGCTCACAGCAGGAGTCCCAGCAGCCCCGGGGGCTGGGAACCAGGCGTCCCGGCCCGTGTTCACGTCCCTCCTCCCAGCCCCAGCCTGGCCCACATCTCCATGCTCCCAAACCTCCTCCGACCTGCTGGGAGCTGCTGGGGTCCCCGTGAGAGGGTGACACCGTCGGCCATGGTCTGGCCGCCAGGTGGGCGTCCCCACAGTTACTGCTGAGGAGGGTCCCGCACTGACTTCAGACCTTCCTGCCTTTGTCCTCATGTGTGTGCATGTGCATGTGTGTGCGTGTGTGCGCGTGTGTACATGTCTGACAGACACTGTAATCGGGGAGGAACTGAGAGCTGGGGAAGGGTCGCGCACATGCTGCCATTAACACACAGTATTGTCACGTCTCTGCCTTTCCTGGCAGAGGCACCTTGGGGGGCATCTCCCAATCTGTGGGGTCCAGGGTGCTGAGGGCGGGAGCTAGGTTTGTGGGGGCAGCACACGGGCCTGCTTCTCATCTGTGGGGCCCCTTCACCCAGAGCCCACACTCCAGGGATGTCTGCGGAGGCCTCCAAGCAGTCAGGGCTGATCTCAGAATGTGAGGCCCAGGGGCCCTGTAGGGGGAGCCGAACAGCATGGATGCCTTGTGGGTGGCAGATGCCCTCAGGCCTCGCTGGCCATGGGGAAGCCTGAAGGAGACTGTCCCCTGCACGTTGGCCACGGCTCCGTCCCATCTGAGTGCGGATGCCTCCCGGGCCCAGGACGGCCTTCTCATGAGGTCTTTGGCTGGACTCCTCGGCCTGTCTGTGTCCCAGGGGTGAGGACATGTTCCTGCAGCCTGGGGCAGGGGCCCGCCCTCTCTGCCAGTCCAATTGCTGTAGCTGGGCCTCTGTCCTGGAGTGACCTGGCCCTCCCTGAAAGGCCCAATGCATGGCCACAGTGACATCCTCCCCCACCCCCCCCCATGCAGCCTGTGGCCACAGTGACATTCCCTCCCGATGCAGCGTGTGGCCACGGCAATGCTCACTCCCGATGCAGCGTGTGGCCACAGCGACGCTCACTCCAGTGCAGCCAGGGGCTACTGCAGGGCAGCGTGGCCTCTCCTCTTTTGGGGCCTGGGTAGGCCGTGTGAGGAGCCAGGCAGCCACGGGCTTTGTGCTGTGGCATGGAAGCCATGGAGCGCTCATCGTTGTGGTGGAGGGCGGCCTGGGCCATGGGAGGGCCGTCTTCGTGACAGGCAGTGGCCTGGTGCTGAGCCCGCAGTTTGGAACCAGGGCCAGTGGATCATGGCGCCAGGGAGAAGCGGACTGAGGTGCTCCATGCCCACCTCCCCAACCATCAGGGCACCGAGCTGCTGCTCCGGGCATGGCCTGGCAAGGGTGGTGGGCCAGCACTCGCTGCGTGGTGCCGCCCTCCAGTGCTGAGGTGCCCACCTCTCCCTCCCACTTGCTTGCCACCCTGGGAGGCTGAAGCCAACTGTGTGTGTAATTTTATATTCTTACTACAGTGGGCCCTCCAGCTTGTCTGGTCCAAGGCCACCAGCCCTCATTCTGTGCTGCCCTGGGGCCCCACTTGGCCGTGTGCGGGCACCTGGTGGCTCCAACGCCCAGGCAGCACCCGCCCCCTCTCCCCCCATCCTC